GGGACCAGAAACACCCCTGGGACGTGTCTTTAAGCTGAACTTCCTCATGACTCCTGCAGGCTCTCGGGTGAAACCGAAAGTGAAACTGAAACTGACTGCTGAGCTTATCTTATGGATGCAGTGAGATTTTGGACAAAAAAGTTCAGCTGCGTAACTGGTGCTGTGCGTCACACTGCAGGTCAAAAAAAAAATTGGAAAGGAGAGATGGTTTTTGTTGAGGATTGTGGCCATAGCAACAGTGGGAAATGCTATAAAATGGGGTAACTAGCGATCGATCGGCATGGCAAATGTCAGTGAGATGGCTCATAATGGTTTAAAGGCTCTGTTCCATTATACCTGACAGGAGTTGTCAGTTACTTACTGAGTTAAAGTGCAGACCAAGATATCCTTGTGTCAGCAAGAAAGGTACCTACAGTACTTGAGCTTAGAGGACACAGGCACATGTCTGAGCTGGTAAAGACTGAGGATTGAAGAGCAGCAGCAGTTGGGAGCTTCTCAGTGGCAAGGGGGGAAAAAAAGAAATTGGAAGACGGTGTGATAAAAATATCTGCAGGAACAATTTAAGATTTTCAGAAATAAATAATAAAAAATGGTTTTCTAAAGCATTCTCATCTTTTCTGTCAAGAAAAAAATACGTAATGGGTGGAATTCAGCTAGAACTGCTGAAGAACAAAAAGTTCACGGTTATAAGACGTAAAAGATGGGGACAGAGGTTAGACTGCTCTCTGCTCCCATAATCATCACAATCCAAGGCTAGATTTGAAATCTTTCAATGATGTTAATAAAAAAAGTTCAAATTTTTATTATTGTAACTCTTCAAAAAATGATTTTACACTTAGATAAAAAAATTAAACTGGGGACACCTACAATAGTCTTGTCTTAATTAGAGTGCAAAATAGATCAGTAAGTTAAAATGAACAGAAAATGGTGCAGAGTAATACATTATCTGGTTGTCCTTCAGGTAAACGCAGAATCTCTTTGATCTTGTGAATAAGACTAATTTTCTGAGTGGGTTATGCCTATATATATATATATATATATATATACTATGTATACAGTCCACTAGATGTATATCAAAATATACCACTAGATGTCCTCCAAAATCTTTTTTTTTCAGTTTCTCGTCTCACCTGTAATCCTTTCCTAATCAACACACCTGTTGTCACTTATTTACCACCTGGTTTTCTTAAGATTCTTTTTAAATCATCTGACAACTTCTACTTATCTTGTTGTTTGACAGCTCTGCTAACATTTTCTGCATGTGTCATCATCAGGATCCTTCTGCAGCACACCAACCACCTGCAAAATGTCTTTAAATGGCCGATGCCTTCTGCTCACAGAAGACTTGATGTTAATTCAAGGTAACAAGTCAAGATTTAAGGTATTAACGGTGTTTGGTGGAGCAGAATCCTCTCTTATGCTTCGGCTGACAGCTGTACCAGCTGTCCATATTGATAACATTTGATTAATATGATATTTGTGTAGCTACTTAAAATCTCTAAGTGGGTAGAGCAGACAAATAATGACACAAATGAACAAGAGTCAACTTCAGTTTTAATTAGTCCTGCAGTGAATTTATAAACAGAGATACAGTAGAAAATGATGGACCCGGCATATACTGCAAAATGACAAAACGGGCTAATGAGTCATATATGGAATTCACTTTTAGCCTTTTTGCTATGTATATATTTGTCTTTGTCATCTAATTGTTTCTTTCCTGGATCCAACATGATATTTTGATTATTTTATTGATTTTAAACTAAAAACCCTTGTAGTGAAAGTTACAGTGGTTTGCAAAAGTATTCATACCCCTTGAACTTTTCCATATTTTGTCACATTACAACCACAAACATAAATATATTTCACTGGAATTTAAT